TCAGTTTCTGATAGGTTAAAATCTTAATATCTAATTCTTGTTCCTCTATTGTGCTCAGGCCCTGAATACCGGCCTATGAATATCGGTCATAGTCTGACTCCGACCTAAGCTCGGATCCTCATACGAGCAACAGCGCTTTGACACAGAGCTCTGATTGGTGAAAAGCCGGTTGTGGGGGTAAAATTTACCTTCATCATCTGTTTTTCACCAATCGATGTTCGGTGTCAAAGCGCTGTTGCCCATATGAGGATCCGGGCTAAAAGGCTCCGCACAATAAAAGGAACAGGGAGCAGAGACAGAGAATAAGGGGCTCCGCACAATAAAAGGAACAGAGGCTCTATTCTTGAAAAAAAAACGTATACGAAAGTCTAGGGAAATGCTACAGTATACGTTACGTATATTATAGTATTTTCCTAGACTTTCGTATACGGTTCTTTTCAAGAATAGAGCCCCAGGGAATAGAGAACAGAGAATAAGAATTTCAACCTATCAGAAATCATGTATTGTGGAATACAGATCGTGTATTCCACAATACATGATTTCTGATAGGTTGAAATTCTTATTCTCTGTTCTCTATTCCCTGTTCCTCTTATTGTGCGGAGTTTCTAAGAATTTCAACCTATTAGAAATTGTGTATTCTACAATACATGATTTCTGATAGGTTGAAGCCCCTAACATGTTATAATTTACGTTAGGCATACTATAGAATTTTAGAGATAAAAGCGCGTTCTGAATACGGGCCCTTGTCTTCTTACATCATGGGTATGTATATCTTAAATTCTTATATACCATGCGCTCAGCAACGGTAATACTGTTCAATCGATTTGTACTTTGTAGTTCATCAGTTCATTGTAAAAGTAGGAAGACAGAAAATCTCATAAGCATATTCTTATGTATTTTGATTCTTTTTCGTAAATGAATTTAAATTTTTCAAACTGTCAACTTGTTCTGATAAAACAATATATTCATGACGTAGCCAACATTCGATTTTCGAAGGGCCGTCATCTGTCGTGTGAATTGTGATCGTACGCAGCGCGACGATGTCGATTTTATCCATGAACTTTCCGAGAAAGCGTATCGTGCGTGCGCTCAAGTCTACTTACGAATTCCGAAGTCCGTGTGAAGAGCTCAAAGTGCGTCGATCGCGCATCGGGTGCGTGTAAGCGCTTGCAATCTTGATCTTTGTCGTGTGTGTTGTGTATGTGAGAGAGAAAAAGAGAAAGAGAGAGAGACACGGTTACACGTGTCTTAGGATGCGATGCATCTATTCCGTTACGATGCTACGACATACGTACCTTCCGTTCTCACGTATTCGAGGAACACCTCTAGTTCCGCGATTATAATTCCAGCGGTATAAAATGTCAGCACAGCTAAGCATGCAAGACAAGAAGGATTTGGAGAAGTTTACCAAGTATCTTGCGTTGAGGGCTGCCCAAGTCATAGTGCAGTCAAGATCGGGCCAGAAAGTCAACACCACGTGCAAGCCGGACTCATCAGCTGGCGACTGGGTAAAAGTAAAGTTTATTTCAGTCCAATTTATCTGGTTTCATCAAAACTGCTGATCTGTTCTTATTTTCAAGTTATATATGCACGTGTGTATCTTGATGGACAGATGCAGTAACCAAATACTAACATTTTTTAACTTTTCTTTATGGCTTTGCACTATATTTCTGAAGAAACATTGTGTGCTTTAGGTACGTTCCGTTTCATGCATGATGTGCATAATGTATCATTTTATTTTACTTTAATATTTGGTGAACAACAAGGATAAAATGATATATCATGCATACCATGCATGAAACAGAACGAACCTTTTCCCATTTGGTGACACAAGTCTATACAATTGTTGTTCTGTATTTGTTATTCTCTGAATGTCAGGAAAAAAAAGATAAAATAATGTTTGTATTGATTTGTATCACTAAGGACCGGTTGTTCCATCTTTGGATAAACTAGGTGATAATTTATCTACTGGATAAATAAAAGAGTAAAAGAGTAAAGAGATAAGAGAGTAAGACAGTGAGCTGAAGTTTACCAAAAGGTGGAAACAACCCAACCTAAGGCCTAGTTTCACAACTCACAATTAACTCTTAACCGAGATTCAACTTATTCATTATCTCTTTCTAATTCTAGAATTAAAAAGAGATGAGAAACAAGTTAAACCTCGGTCTCAGTTAAGAATTGGGCCTGGAAAGTACCCAATATTATAAAACTTGTTTCTTCATTGAACAGCACATATAAAATAGATGAAGCTGTAGAATGTGTCACATATAATCTCCATTATCATAGGAGGATTAATTATACATTAAAGTATAGATATTTATTTAAATTCATTTTTATTAGTAAATATATATAACAGACAAATGGAGTATATGAAGCAAATGGAAAAACAAACAGCATTGATTCAATGTTTTTTCATTTTTCTATTATTTATTCAGCATAACACTAAAATTTATATCTAGAATAGTTTTCTTTTATTATATTCTATTATTTCTATATTGAAATATCAGAAAATTGCGGATAAATCTTTTTAAGAAATACTTAAGGGATCATATACGTTTCTCAGTTTAAAAAAATCGATTTTTTTCTTATTTTAAAAGGTACATATCTTAGAAATATTTTAAAAACAAAGCGAGCTCGATATTCGAATTATTGACGAAGTTACAACTGCTTTAACAAAACTAGTTGCTCCACAGGTCAGATTTCTAACCGATTACCGGTAGTGCGTTATCGTTTGAATAAAGAAAAGAAGTGAGGAAAAATTATTGTATTATTTGTATGAAGAATCTGTAATGTTTTACTGAGCCCATTTAGAATCCATAGCTTATAGAGTTGTGGAAAAGCTGTACATTTCAGTCGCGTGTTTATTTGTACCAGGTGTATAAGTATGAAATGCGGATTTTTTTTCCAAAAAAATACACGTTAAATTCGGAAGAATGATAAAAAGTGGTTTATTCAAAGTATGCTCCATTGCTAGTTACACATTTTTCCCATCTTTCGGGTATTTATGGATACCACGCCCGTAAAAATCTTTCCCTTTTGCCGCGAACCATTCATCGAGCCATTTTTTCACATTTTCGTACGAGCCAAAGCGCTACTCAGCAAGTGCGTGACCCATTGATGCAAACAAGTGGTAATCGGAAGGAGCCAAGTCTGGTGAGTAAGCTGCATGGGCTAGCACTTCCCTGAGTGCTTCCAACGTGTCGCAAACCGGTTTTGCTGTATGTGATGGAGCATCGTCATGGAGAAAAATGATTTTGTGTTGCCTTTTTCGATATTCTGGTCGTTTTTCGAGTAGCAAACGATTCAAATCGATCAATTGTTGTTGGTAGCGTTTGGTATTAACCGTTTCAGTAGGCTTTAACAGCTCATAATAGACCACACCCTTCTGGTCCCACCAAACACAGAGCATCGTCTTCTTGCCAAAGTAATTCGGTCGATGTGGATGGTGCGCCTGGGTCTACCCATGATTTTTTACGCTTGGGCTTCTCAAAATATATCCACTTTTCATCCCCAGTAACGATACAATACAAAAACGACTTTCTTTTGTATCGTTCGAGCAAAATTTCACATGTGTTTTTGCGCCTCTTCATCTGCCTCGTTCAACTCATGTGGTATCCATCTGCCGACCTTCTGAATCTTTCTTAAACTCATCTCTCGTAAACGATTGGAAACAGCCTGTTGACTAACGCTCAATTGCTCTGCGAGTTGTTTTTGTGTTTGTGAATCGTCTTCGTCCAACAATGCAATTCTACATCTTCGTACCTTTTTGGCGGTTTTCTGTGTTCTTTGTCTACAACATCAAAATCATCACTTTTGAAACACCGAAATCATCGGTCACACGTATTTATCTTATTTATGTTATCTTGCGATGGAGCATGTTTACCATAAGCGTCTCGAAGTAATAAGTATGATTCAGCAGCAGTTTTCTTCAAATGAAAACAAAAAATTAATGCTGTCCGCGAATGCTCTTCATTTGGCACAAATTTCGACATATTGAACACAGCAAAACAATACTATGCAAACACTTTTTCAATTTATCACTTATGCGCGTTTGACACTTGTTGATGGCACAACAAAATGGCATATACGTCAAATCTTTATACTACACACTGCATTGGTGCACCATCTGTTGTCTCAAATCCGCACTTCATACTTGTACACCTGGTATATCGCATGTTTAGTATTTCAAGTGACTTATAAACAGATGTAAAAATGACAGGACGAATATATATCGACCAAAAAGAATCAAGAAATAATTCAAGACTACTTTCCCGATCCATGAAAAAAAACGACCTCTGACGAAAAAAGAAATAAAATTCAAAGAAGCTATGATGAGTGCATCTGCAAAAAAGTTAAAAGAGCGGCAAGATTCTGAGGTGATAGTAGATGCAACTTTCAGCTATCGAATTTTAAACTTTTTTGCAGTGTTTACAGCTATTAGTGCGTATATTAAATGCAAAACGTGCGGAGGTAACATAAAATTTACAGAAACTGAATTCGAAGCCTTGGATTTAAAATTGTAATACAATGTGATGAGTGTGAACCACAGCGTATTTCTTCCTGTTACAGGATTGCCACAGATCTGGAAAACTGGGAAAACCGGGAAAAGTCAGGGAAATTGAAATTGGTCATGGAAAACTGGGGAAAGTCAGGGGAAAATGTAAAAAGGTCTGGAATTTTGAAATTTGCTCATAATTTCCTTAAATTGCTCCTATTCCAGATAATTGTTATAATTTTTTAATATTATATCTGACATTTATAGTGAAATACGTTCAAAACTCGCACACTTTAAACAATTTTAATAAAATAATTAAAATTTATATTTTATTCAATATTTTTATTTGATCGCCCTTTTTCGTAATTGCATTTTATTCCCAATACTAATTTATTTTTTGTTGGTTTGAATTTGCACCTAAAATTTTATTGCTATTAACCTTTTTTGCGTTGTTTTTAATAATATAGGCTGGCTTTCCTATAATTCTTGACTTTAAATGTGTTAAAATTTACATATTTTATATTGGAAAATTTTCCATTTTCATCTGGAAAACCTGAAAAAGTCAGGAAATTTTAAAATTCATTTTCTGTGGCAACCCTGTATTAACAAATTGATAAAGTTTATAAAATAAATAGACGTTTTATGTTCGCAATGAGAGTTTTAGGATTGGGACTATATGCTATGCAAAAATTTTGCGGATTCATGGACTTGCCAAAGCCATGCAAATTACATATAACACTAATGTACGAAACATTCACACTGTTGCAAAAATTGTGATGTTTCACTGAAAAATGCTGCAATTGTGGAAAAAAACTCAAAAAGTAGATTTATTTGAGGATGAAGGAGGAGGAACTGTTTCCGGAGATGAGATTTGGAAAAAGCATGGATTTTCACCTCTTTTTGGCGTGATAACTCTCACTGGAAATTTGGCAAGAAAAGTTATAGACATTATTATAAAATCGTCTTACTGTAAAGCCTGTGAATATTGGGAGAAAAAAAGCAACACCGAGGAATATAGAAATTGGATTGAAGAGCATGAGTGTGCCGTAAATTATGAAGGAAGCGGAATGCAGGAAATGTTTCAGCGATTGCTTCAATTGCAAGTGAAATACTTAAATCGGTGACGGTAAAAGATTTCGGGATATTCTGAAAACAAACCTGTATGATACTCCGGTTACAAAAAAAAATGTGTAGGCTACAGAAGAGGATGGGGACGCGTCTTTGTGCCCTAGTAAAAAAAAAAAAAAAAAAACAAAGTCTCGGAGGAAATCTTACAGGCAAACTGTAGCTCTATTACGGTCTAGCCATCAAGAGATACACTGATTCTATTGAAGATATGAGAAAAGCTATATATAGGCGACATTCTTTCATAAAATTTCAAAGGACGAGAAACCACAGCATCATTATTGCCCACCCGGAGAAGAATCGTGATGTTTATGGCAGCAAGCGTGTGCTGCGAACAACTCGAATGAATACAGACATAAGCTAGCTCTTTCTAAATTGTAGAAGATGCTGTTTGACCTGTGTACAAGAAGTTTAGCGAAAAATATTTGCTTTCAAGGTGTATTGGCAACTACACTCAAAAATCGAATGAGAGTCTAAATGCTTTTATATGGAAGATTGCTCCAAAAGAGATATATAGCGACTCTATGATTGTTGAAATCGCCACATATATTGCAACAGTAATATTTAACGAAGGCTACATGTCTCTGTTAACAATTTTACAAACTTTAAATTGCACCATTGGCAATGCAGCATACTATATGTGTCAAGAGGCCGACGCACAGCATATTTCAACGGGCGAGCTTTGAGTGCAGGAAGCGAGAATTCGTCGTAGACAGATGAGATTGCAGTCAGAAGAGGATCATATTGTAGAGGAAGGGCAACTTTATGGTGCAGGCATTGCTGATTAAGCATAAATAAAAAAGTTTGTCATTTTATCCCACTTAAAAACTCTTGCAAAACTTTAAACGTTTTTCTCGAAATAGCATTTTTCAGAACGGTGGGCATAATAATTGCCTCATCGTTCGATTAATTTTATTTTTGGTATATGTATTATAAATTAAGATTCGCTATCATCACAAAGATTTTTTTGAATAAATTTAATCATTTTCGAATAGCAATAAAAAATAGACGATATTTTTGTGAAAATGACTTTTTCAAATTGTGACCATTTCCGTAATTTTTTTTTAATCCCTTTTGTCACACAAGAAATACATTCTAAAAAATAATTAAAAAAAAAAATTTTTGTTTCAGATAAATATTACGAGTTCACCGTTTGACTCGATAAAAAAAACACGTTCTACGCCACTGGACGCAGTCACGTTTTTGTTAATTTTTTAGTTCATATACACGTTTTATGCTCTTTAAGAGTCCACCTTTAAATAAAAAAAAATTAAATCAATCGACTCAATAGTTTTCTTACAACCTCTCACCACATTTTGACTACTTTTCAGGTCCGAGAAATATATGATCTCTTAAAGATTCAATTTTGCTAAATGCCAAGATTAATTTAAGATTATAGTAATTATATTTTAAACATTATTGAAAAATATTTTTTGTTTAGTATATCTTATAAAAATTATTATTTTTTATAAAGAACTCTGTGATGCTAAATATTGGATTAAACCAAATAAATTGGATGATTCATGCAGTCATTTTTAATTTTACTATTTAATATTTAAAGGATTTAAAAAGAAAATAAAATAAATATTTCCATATTTGATGTTGTAGTTTAATCTGGCAATAAAGGAACTACCAGAAGTGTCAGCTGATGCTAAAAGGGCACTATGTGGAGAGATAGTAAGCTCAGCTGTACCTCTATGCATAGAAATTTCTCTAAAAACAGTAGAGGGTGATAAGATGGTTTTAGAAACTTGGAGCCTTAGCGTTTTGCCAGAGCAAAGTGATCCATCTGTACGAGTAACATATACTGTGTATAACAGAATGGGGATTTTATTGAAGTCCTTGCTTTCTGTATCAAGAGTTACGCCTGCTTATAAATTGAGCAGACGTCAAGGACCTGACTCCTATACTATGTGCTACCGAATATACATGGGAGAACCTCAGCTACATAATTTAGGTTAGTTTATCAATGAATAATTCACAGAATTATTCTTTATTTTTTTAAATTTATATATTTCAGAATTTATTTATAAATATATATATATGAAATGTGCAGTGTGTGATTTATTTTATAAGAATCAATTTTTTACCAACTTTATCAATTTTTTAATTTTTCAATGTAATATGTATTAATTTGCTGTACAACATGGTTTCTCATTGAATATTGTCCATTTTATAACAGGTGATAACTATAAACATGTAAGAGTAGGTCAATTGTGTACTCCAGTAGGCACTATACATCTATCAGTTTCTTATAGAACAAAAATGACGATATCGCCTACTCATAAGGGACGAGATTCTATCATGCTTAAGAGCGATCATTTTCATTCAGACCTAAGTCCGCGTCATGTACGATATCAGCAAAGGTCAGTAAACATGGGTAAAATATTTACATGTATTTAATGAAAAATATTTACATTTCAATATTTTAATTTAAATGTAGCGAAGAAACGTCAAAGTCACTTAGCGATACCATCAAAGTTGGTGCATTTGTAATAAACAAGCCTGTTATTGTCAATGAGGAAGATCTCGTGATACCAGATGTACCATTCAGTTCGCTATTAACACCCAAACAAACGTCGCCTCCTCCAATATCACTAGTAGATCCTAGTACAAAGACTACAATGGCAGCTCTTACAACTGATAGCAACAATGGAAATAACGAGAGACTTAATAATGATAATACAACTTCGAAATGCGCATCCCAAAACGGATCTAGAAGGAGTAGTTGTTCAATGACTAGCGCCAACGATGATTTTATTATGGTAGATTTGGTAATTGATGCTCTTAATCCGAACTGATACCACGATAATGTATTATATATATGTATATGTCTTACAGTGTGAAATTTGCCTGATATCGAGAAACAATATTTCGCCTAGTTGTAAAAAAAATTTTGCACTTTTCTTTTAAAATTATAATATTTAATTTAAGTTTCAATTTAAGTTTCAATTTAAAGTTTAAATTTGAAGGCTATAATGAAAGAAATACACATATTTATATAGAAAATCTTTTAAACATAAAGAAATATTCTTAGCTATAGATATAAGAAAATATAATTTTATTGTTCTATACCAATTTAAAATTTGAGAATAGAATTATTGTAACAAAATTTTTTTTGTTATAATAGTATTGCTATAAATTGAAATTCTAATTACTTTATCTCAATAAAAAATAGAAGAACTCTCTTTTTGGAATTGTATACAAATTTTTTAGATTATATTATTTTTTATTTACTTCCTTTTGAGTAAAAATTATATATAATACATAACAAAACAATTTATAAAATATATAAATATTAATATACAAGAATTAATATATAAAGATTAATATTTTAGAATTTTTTATATTTATATATTTTATTCAAATAGAAAAAGATATTTTTATTCTCATAACTTGGGCAAATTTTATACTGCATTTGTGTACGAAACAAATTTCAAATATTGTTACAGAAAACTCCATTCGCTGTCACGAATACCAATAGCGATGTAGGAGCGTTTTATCGAGAGTGTCAAAGCGCTCCACAATTGCAAGCCTTTATGGAAGAAAGGACACTTGCGGAACAATTGGGAGATCTCACTAAACAATTGGAAACATTTGAGACAAATATGCAACACTACGAGGACATTTTGTCATCTTTGTATCACACAGAAAATAATAATTAAGATTGGAGAGTCTGCGGACAAGTAACCGATTTAAACAAAGATTCGATTGTACACAGCTTTTGTGTACAAATCAATCATTATAGTGGATGTACATTAAATGAACAATGCAAATATTTCATTTTCTGTGCTGATTCTTTTCATGTTTGTAATAAATATTTAGATAAATTTGGTATTTTCTGTACGTGCAACGCAACCACGGTAAAGATGTCCGACGATTACTGCACGTTTTTTTTTATTATAACCACTAATTTAACCCTTTGTAGTCACTGGGAATACAGGGGTGTTCCAAAAGGTATGAAGTTTTATATTTCTAAGGTCTTTTTTTTAAAACGGAACTTAAACTGCCATTTATCCAAAGTTTAAAATACCCTTTTTGTACCTTCGGCTGCATATTATTCTTTGGACATCAGTCTGCGATTTTTGTTTAATGTTAAAATTAAAAACTCTAAAAATACATTGCATTTCCATATTCTACAAAGTTTTAAGTTTATTCAGTAATTTTTCAGTGATTTTAAAAAACAAAAGTTGTAAATACGGCACTCAATTAAAATGTTGGGATTATTTTGCCCCATGTGTGACCAACATAAAATTCTCAGGCGGTGTGACTACAAAGGACTTAGAAGCGGAAAAAGTGAATCTTCCGTATATTCATAAACTTTTTAAGTGTTGCTTAAAGCATTTTATGTGTGATATGAGTATAGAGAAGATATCACGTATTAATGGATCCATATGAAAATAATAAGGATCAACAATAAAAAATGAGTGTAACGTATTTTCCTTTTAATTTACTAATAAGAGATGGAATGTATATTCGTGTTCTTGTTTGGACTCTTGTCTAATTTGGATATATTTTTACAATCAAATTGAATGTTGTAATATTCTATTTGTTACAGAATGTATTTCTAAGTTTTAGCAGTAAAATATCCAATTTGATATTCGTTGTTCATTTGCATATGTACATCCAACTTCAAATATTAAAATAATTTTGTCAGTTATGTCAAAAATTAAGATCATTGATACACTGTTATGTTTTGCATTGAATAATTTTAAGATGTAGAAAATATAAATTAAGAATTGGAACACAAATGATTTTTCCTCTCTCTTCAATAGTCTGAATAAAATTAATCACTCAAATGTTTTGCTAATACATAATGTACGTTGCAAAGATTTTATGTAATATATATATATATATATATGTAATAATCAGCAGAGCAAATGCTAGTTGTGATATTTGATTACTTAATATAATTTATTGCTTGTATAAAGTGTAAATTGCACTTGAATACTCTAAGATTAAACAATAAATATAAGTTGATTATGAAATAATCTAGTAATTATCCTATCCATTAAATTTGATTTCAATAATTATAAACTCGTAAAAATTAGTTTTTGATTTAAAAAATTATTAAAATTATATGTTATGTGTGATAAAACGAATAGTTTATAGAAAGAAAATTTAAAAAAGATTTTTATCTATCAATATATTATGAATTTATCTACAATCTATAATCATTATCTGCAGCCATATTATTTTTCTGAAGTAATCCATTAAATAGTATTATCGGTGAGGAAAAAAATAATTTTCTTTTTTCAAGATAAATGCTAAATAATATACTAAAAATTGTTTACTCGTTATCATACATTTGTGTCAAGCCGTAAATGTTATAAAAACTGTACAATCTTAATATATATTCATACAGATATCTTTAGAAATATACAAGATATTCATAAGAAAAGATTACTTGCTTTTGGTATAATGAATTTGCACCGTTGAATAAATTACCGTTAATTAGTTTGATTCTTCAGTGTCGTTAATTGCTCCGAATACTCGAGATATAATCTTTGCCAACGAAGATGGCCACCAATTACAGCCAGTACATCGCCCAGAAGTTTATGTTTCTTTATTCCCTATATGATATTTGATATGAAAAATAAATATTATATAATCAAATTAGTTAAAAATATGATAAAATTAATGACGAATATAAGTAGTATTACCAAAATAACAGGATCCCATGTACTTCTGGAAGCTGACGTATGACTTGGGCCCAAAAGATCGTCCAAAATTAGCCTTAGACGTCTCTCTAAACCGTCTAAAAAATATTGGAAAAAGAGAACGATGCATTATTTCGTATGAGAGCAGTTGACTCATAATTAACGAATCTCAAATTCAATATCTAGTCTCATCTACATATGTCTCAATTTTATACAAGGTTGATGAGAATTGAAGATTGTTAATGAAAAGGTATGAGGTGAACAGTAATCTGTTTTGGAAATCCATGTTTCACATATTATAAAAAATACACAAGAATAAAATATAAATTGCATGGCGTACCTTGCGTTAATAAGAATGACACCAAAGCCATAAGCCAATGAATGTACTCTTGGGCACTTCCAAGAGCTTTAGATGCGAGTAATTGCTGTTCCAAATAGGAAACCACGCTTGGTGCACTATGCGGTAATCGTGGATTTGGTAAAATATTCCCGGAAGTTCTAAGCAGTCCTTCCTGTAATGATGATAGAGGTCCTCTAGGCGTCCTATTGCCAGAAGTACTCAGTACATTGAATGATGACCATCGCCAAACTGGGTCCTGACTGTCTCCAATTAACAGCCATGTCCCTGTATACAATGTATGTATATAATTGTTATATAATCATATATAAATGAAGAATGAAAAATGACAAGATTTTGCTATACCCATATCCTTATGATACATATACGCTCGTGCATTAGTAAATGCTACATGAGGCATTCCATTATATAAAGTGCATGACAATAAAGACGCTCCAGGCGCTGCTAAATGAGCAGCCGAAGTTGAAACAATCATTCTGCATGTATTTCCTATTTCCCATACACGAACCGCACCACAGCTTGATATTACCATCACCTATTACATTTTTTTATAATTATAAACAAACATAAACACACATGATGCATTAAATCGATGAACAAGTTACCGCGTTTCCAACAGCGTGAACCTTTGCCAAAGGTGCCGGTGGCGCTAATGGTGGTGCCGACCGGCATCCTTTTGCAGGATGAAATGTGTGAAGACTCCCATCTTCCAAACCCAAGGCTATCACAGCCGGTGATGCCGCTAATGCCACAGCACTATATCCTAAATAGAGATCCCATGTTGATTCAGAATCTGTGCCTTTAAATACTTGCAAATGAGCCAAGCCATGACTGTTAGTGACAGTCACAGCGTAATGACCCGCCTGTTGGGACAATGAGCTGGACGGCTTCAATGGAGGCAGTAACATCTGACCTATGTTCCTATCAGATACGAATTTAGGCTTTTTATTCGGCGAATGGTGTATCTTTGGTGTTGTTTGCTCCTTGCGTTTCAATGTAAGGGAGGATTCTGGGGCGTCGGCAGCAACTGATTTGGACGACGAAGTAACATTGGGTGCAACAACATCGTTACGTTTTTCTATCACAATCGAGCTTTTCGTTTGTACTTTACTGGTGAACGTCGGTGTGCCTAAACTACCACTGATATTTGTATCTCTGAAAATTGATAAAAAAAATGTTACAAAATTTAATATCAAATCAGACATAAAAATATATAAATAGAAATCAAGTTTATATATTTTAACTTACGTTGTATCTGCTGGCGGTGGAATAAACATAGGAGTAATTCTTCTTTTCCCATCTGAAGTCCTCGTTTCAATTTGTTTATTAATAGGTCCCTTAACTGGAGTAGTCACAGTGCTAGTAGTGACAGGGGGAATGCTAGGAGTGGATGATACTTGAAAAGATTGATTCGATGTCGGTTGTTTCAAATTGAGAAGTTCTGGTGCTTCCATCACCATACAACCTCCTTGAACCAATGGTTTACCATATAATCGTTCATGTAGACTACTCTATAAACCCAAAATAATTGAGTTTGTAAGATATACGAAGGCAATAAGTTGCATATGTAGCGGACACACGCATGCACGCACACAAATACATACATATATATGTATATGCGTTACATCATGCAAATATATATACATATATGTAATTACTTGCTCAGCAGGATCAAGAGGTTGTCCTAATTCCTGTTGAGTAAATTCAATAAATACAGCTGTTCCATCCCAAGAACATGCTGCAAGACGAAGACCACATGGTGACCAACTAGCATCTAATACAGAATGTGTAAACAACTCGTGAATTACGACTAAAGGTCTTTTTAAGGATGTTAACCACACAGATAGAGAACGATCTCGTGATCCTATTGCAACACAGCAATACTGTTGTGGCTTAGAGGAACCTGGTTGTTTCTTCTGTAGAATATTACCATTAAATCTCTAAAAAATTGTACAGGTGTACAATAATTTCGATTAAAAGTCTTCTTGGTATTAGAAAAAAAAAAGAAAAAAGAATAAAAAGAAATATGTCCAATGCTTACAACACAAGTTACTGCCTTTCTGTGCCCAACAAAATCTTTATCCTGTGTCCATCCATCTCTTTCAATTATTTGAGCTGTAGGTCCTCCTCCATTCATAGCATGGGCAGATACTAAATACTGACCATCTGGACTCCAGGAAAGTCTTAGAACATGAGTTGTGCCACCACATTCGTCGAACGGCTCAGATATTAAAGCTGCTTCCGTCCAATCCGTAGTATGCCATACTCTCAATGTTTTGTCATCAGACTGAGATGCTAAATATTTCCCCACAGGATCCCAAGTAATTCCTTTTACAAAACCTGTATGACCTTTTAATACTGCAACTACTGCAGGAAACTTGGATGCATCCCATACTATAACACTGTTATCCACTGAGGCAGAAGCCAACCATGGACTATGTGGTGCCCATGCAAGATCAAGTACATCAGCTTCATGTGAACGTAACGTTGCAATACATCTCCAAGTTTCGACACTGGCTTTTCCACCAAAAATAGAGCTTCCTCCTGATCCAGATAATCTCCAAATCATAATAAGTTTATCTACACCACCAGATGCCAACAATCCACTATTGCTCCATCGTACGCAATTCACACATGCTACATAAAAAAAATATTTTTTATATCAATGAGTTAATAATATAAACAAAATTAATCAATTAAATTACCAAGATGATTGTCTAATTGGCACAGCATCTTTGGAACATTTGAGTCTAATTCAGCAGTCTCATTGACTACCGGTTCCATATTCCATATAACAACTCTTCCTGAATCACCACCTAATTCAAATATAACAATAATAAGTATAAAAATAAAATTTTAAATATTACTGGTATTTTATTGGCATTTCTAATATGTTATTCCAATTTAATATATATCTTAATTAAAGATGTACAAATACTAAGTATACCTTGACCACCAGTAGCAAACCTTTTTCCATTGGGATGTATATCGATAGAAAATATTGGGTATCCTGACGAAAAATAAACATTAAATCATTCATTAAAATTATAACTTTTCGAGATATTATGCAAAAACAGAAAATATCACAAACCATCGTGAGTAACCCAATTTGGCTTGACCAGCTTCATTTTTATCGTCGTTCGAGGCTATGTAACAATTTGATAAGTAATCTTCAAATCTTGTTACATCTTAGAGCTAATAAATAAGTGTCCCCGGCACAATTTAAAAATTCACACGAGATATAAGACATAACCTTATACAGTCGTATATATACAAAGGCCCGTATTCAGAACGCGCTTACAACGATGTTAGCACGCTACATACCATACTTTACGTCACGCATATTATAGAATTTCAGAGATAAAAGTGCGCTTTTATCGATAAAGCGCGTTCTGAATACGGGCCAAAATGTACATATGAATGGCATTTCATTAGTCTAGTCTGCGTTCAGAAACTTCATCCAACTTTACCTTTGCTCAGCCTT